AAAGCATGAGGCAAGGCTGGAAATGGCCAGAGATGCTATATCCTCAAAAAACCACTCCCAGTGAAGAGTCAGCGAAAATCAGTTTCTACTTCTCCCAGCTTGGTCCCAATGTCCAGTGTTTCCAGAACCTCTGAAAGTACTACTGCCTGATGAAGGTCAGCCTTTCTGTGTGTGAGCTTTGGAGAGGTACTTCATGTCTAAACCATAGCATTCAACCCTGCGCCCCAAAATCTCTTGTTCCTCTCAAAATGGAAAATGTATTCTGTCCCTCTTCAAGAATCCACAACGTATTACCTAACACTACTTTAAATTTCAAGTTAAGAACTGACTAGATAATTCAGTGGGTAAAGGCCATTGCTATAAAGCCTGACCACCTGAGTGCAATCCTTGGGTCCCCTGGGAATAATGAGAGCATCAACACATGTACATTGTCCTCTGACCTCCACATATGCACCACAACACACATGAGTATGTACACACACACACACACACACACACACACACACTAAATAAAAATAAATAAATAAATAAGTAAATAAAGAAATAAATAATTTAAAATCTCAACTAGAGATTAAAAAAATAAATAAATAAAAACTCTTAACTTACAGTCTCTTTTGAGACCTAAGGTAAACTTTTATCTGTAAGCCTCCACAAAAACACAAACAACAACAAAAATAAAACCAAGTTTTGTACTTGAAGATACAATAGCATAGAGTAAATATTACCATTCCCAAAGAGAAAAAGGGGGCAATAGAAAGGAGGGATATGACCAAAACAAAACCAAAACCCATCAGAACCAGCATTAAACCCTGTATTTCTAATAACAAGCATCAGGGGCAAGCGGTGGCTGAATCGAACTCCAAAGGGCTTGAACAGTCATTCCCCTGTGGTCTTGCCCTTTGAAATCCACATAGCCTAAATATTAAAAAAAATTTCCATTTATATATATTTGGGTGGTGTGTGTGTGTGTGTGTGTGTGTGTGTGTGTGTGATCTGTCTGTCTTTCTGTGTCTCTGTGTGTATGTGTGCACAAGTATTCCAGAGCACATGTGTAGAGGTCAGGGGATGACTATGGAGTCAGTTCTTCCACTATGTGGGTTCTGAGGTTCTAAACGTATATTGTCACACTTGGTAGCAAGCACCTTTACCCATCAAGCCATCACTTTGCCTTTTAAAAGTGTAGGCCAGTCTGGTGCTAAACTTGTGATTTTCCTTCTCCTTCCTCTTCAGCACATCCTATGAACATGTACCATCACCACTGACCACATATCCTCTCTCTGTACTTGTCTTGTTCCTTTCATTGCTTTCAGTTTTCTTCAACACACATTCAACATTCCTGGCATCTCTAACATACTGGGGTTTTCACTTAGACTTAGACTTCACAGCATCCTGAATTGACTTCTTGCAGGGAATCTGACCTGTTACAACTTGCCTGGACTCCCAACGGAATTTTGGTGGACATTTCCAGAGGATTCCTTAACTTGCATTCTGCAGGTTTACAAAACCATGGGTGGATGGATGATACTAAAGTTTGCCACTAGGTAGCTGAGCTCGGAAAAAAGTTTCCTAGGTAGCCCTATGTGACAATGTAAGGATGCCGCTTTAGTGCTCCTTTTCAAGGGACAACCTTTTAAATGAGTTTATAATTTTATTTTGTGGAGCCTAGGCTGGGTAGGGTCCTTCAATACCTGAGGTGTCCTCAATGCATCTTACCTACAGTCTTAGAGCAAAGAGCTTGGCTTCCTTTTACTATTTCTAATCTCTTGAGCAACCAAGCTTTCCTTTTCTTCAACTTTTAACTCCTTTTTTTCACAGATGGATTTTTTTTCAAATCCTTCTGCTCTGGTTTTTAACTCACAGTACTTACTGTAAATATGACCAAAAGCATTCATCAATATCCATGCCATAACCTGAATGTTACACTATGTTGAAATGTTCATAATTTTTAAACACTGTCCCACAAAGTGTTAGGATACAGGCACAATGTTAGCTTTGTTAGAACTTAGCATGGAGGGATGCTGGTGCAATTTCATCTGAAACTCCATAAACTCCTGTCCTTAAAAGTCCATATCTCTGTCAATTTTTGTCTCCTGAGCTCCCACAATAATTAACCATTGACTCTGCTTATATTTCAAGACTTCTCTAGCCTGTGTTCCCAAATTCTTTGTAATTATGCCTACAAACTAGTTCCAAAGGCCAAAGAGCCATATGGTCAGGTATAGTCACAATAGTGAGTCTGCTTTTCTGTAGTGATAACTTTTATGTTCTTGTAAGCAAATAAGTAACAAAAGAACTTAAGGGAGGAAAGATTTATTTTGGCTCACAATTTCAGTCTATCATCATTTCTGCCCCTGCAGTTGAGCAGAATATCATGGTAAGAGTGTGTGGTAAAGATGCTTCTTCACATCTAGAAAAACAGGAAGCAGAAGATGAGAGAGGAAGACCCAGGTGTACATTATATGCACCAAGACCTACTTCCATTTATTTACTTTTTTCAAGTAGGTCTTGCCTCCCAAAATGTTCAAAACCAACCAAAATGGGATCAAATTTTCAATACATGAGCCTTTTGAGGACACACTTCATAATCAAGCCATAACAATCCTGCCATAATTTTTTTCAGAAGATGTTACTGAATTAAGAAAGAGGAATAATATAATTAGGGGGTCCCACATATCATGTGCTCTGTCAGCATTAACACATGTTGTTATATCGTTCATCCTCGCCAGAACACTACAACACAGAAAAGTGGAGCAGATTGCAAAAACCTGACCCAATGTTCAATGATTACTAATCACAGTTAGACCTTAGACCCTCCAGATCTCCAGATGACCCCAAATCTCATTCATATGAGCTATGCTCTCCTGTGAGCTACTAGCTACTCTCCTGTTTGGCTCTGTTATTCATTAAATTCATTCTGCAAAGATGCATTATTATAAGCGAAGTATCAGCGCATGTTAATTTCTACATCATGTAAATAGAATCCAAGTTATTTATCTTGGTTGTTTTCATTGAGTTTAGGTAATACAGGTACTAATCTTAATTATATGACAGTACTTGTCACATATAAACTAATAGATGTGCTTGAAAATCAAAGAGCCCCACAGTCTCAAAGTTTGGGGCTCTAATAGTCTCTTGGTAGGCTCAGACAAGATCCAGCTTTTTGTCACCTTTTCCAGTTACTTTTCCAGCTTATTGGGTTGGTATTTGTGAAGGTAGATCTTGGAGTAAGCTTCAACTTCCCTTGCTCCTACTACAGTTCTATCATTGAGTCATATCCATGTCCCGTATCTCTTAGAAGAATTTCCTCTAATCCCCTTGACCATTCTGCTGGAGCCATTGCTTCCCTCCACTTACCAATACCAGCAATTGCAGCTTAATAGATAACTGGCTACTTTGAAGAGGATGCTTCCTTAAGTTGAATAAATTAAGGCTGTTTTAGAGCCTTAATTCATTTTTCTTTTTTTTTTCTTTTTTTTTTTGTCTTTTAGAGGCAGGGTCTCTCTGTAGCCCCAGCTGTCCTGGAACTCACTATGTAGACCAGGCTGGCCTCGAATTCACAAAGATCCACCTGCCTCTGCCTCCCAAGTGCTGGAATTAAAGGTGTGCACCACCACGCCTGGCCATTTTTTCATATTTTATTGGAGTTTTGAAATTTTATACAATATATTTTAATTTTCATACAACATATTTCAAAAATACATTTAGGTTCCCCTCCCGTATATAAATCCCTCTTATAGTCCACCAGTGAATTTTATGTACTCTGTCTATATTAAGGTCTATCAAGTCAAGCTAGTGTCCTTAAATACCCTTTGGTGTGTGTCCATCCCTGGAGCCTGGTTAACCTATATAGCACCACACCCTTAAAGAAAACTAACTTTCCCTCTCCTAGCAGTTATTGCTTTTCAATAGTTCCTCAACTAATGTTGGGACTTCTTACTCACTTCCACAATTCTGTATTGGGCTTTTGTCTGGTTTGAGCTTGTGTGGATCTTGTACATGCTGCTGCCATTGCTGTGAGTTCATATGAGTAGCTTCCCAAGTGTCTGGAAGACTCTGTTTCCTTGTGGTCATCCACCATCTCTGGCTCTTATAATCTTTCTGCCTCCTCCTCTGCAATGGTCTCTGAATCTTGGATGGCAGAGGTTGATAGAGGTGCTCTATTTAGGGATAAGCAGTCCGTAATCTCTTATTCTCTGCACTTTGACCAGTTGTGACTTTCTCGATAATCCCCATTTGTTGCATGAAGAACCTTCACTGGTGAGAGTTGAGAGATGCATTAGCATTCTTTCTACTTGGTTTTCTGCTATGTTCCCTGAGCCTTAGGTGTAGAGGTTGCATTGCAGACATGTCACAGCGTTGGGTACCTCACAAACACATTCTCTGAAGTTGTTATGCTGAGGAACTTTGTAATATCTGTTGCAAAGAGAAGTTTCTTTAATGAATGGTGAGAGGCACATTTGTCTGTAACTATAAGGACATATTTAGAATGCAGTAAGAAATTATGTTGGTCTAGGGATATGACAAAAGTAGGTTTTTCTCTAGGACAAATGAAGGTATAAGTACACATTCAAATAGAGTTCCCATTTTCAGGTTCTTTGGATCTTGAAGGATGAAGTGGGGAAGAAACATTCTCAGAGAAGTATGGCATGAACAAATACCTGGAGAGTGTTGGAAAAACTAATAGATGTACTTGATTGATGTAAATAATACATGACAGAAAACAGAAGGATGAAAGAATGGTGTTGCCAGTTTCTAGAAGACTAAGAGACTGAACATATTCTGTGATACATTTGGGACTTCTAAATATTCTTTATAGAGATGTAAATGACCAACCTTCATTACTTTTTTTTTGTAGAGAATCTATTTTGATGAAAAGCAATTCAATTTGATTTCTAAGAGAAGAGAATTTGAAAAAAACTTTGAAATGGTAAGTCCACCTACTCAATTGAAATGATTTTTGTCCTGCGGAAACTGGTTACAAAGCAAGCAGTGAGGGGAGTCTAGTGAATGACCCCGCCTACAAAACACAGCATATCCAGGCAGCAAACCGTCGTTAAAGCAACACAAATTTCATTGTAAAGTATTAACTTGGGATTTTCCTCCTCTGAATAATTTTGAATAAAATATACCCGGAATGCATGGTGGGGTATAAAGCAGACAACTATTACTAACAGGAAGAAGAAACTCTTGATTTGAGCTCTATACTCATGATGGGCCCACAAATCAGGCCAATAAGCCTTTATTAACCGAAGAACGACAGCCATCTGTATGAGAAAGAGGACTAGAACAGTTGTCATGATAATGACAATCATAGAGTAGTTCATGATGATGACTTCCTTGAAGTTGAGATCTTTGTAGAACTCAAAGCATCGTTGCTGTTCTAAGTAACTTGGATCTGTGCCATATTGTGAAAAAAATACTGGCAAAAAGATGAAGCTACCCACCACCCAAATAACAATGCTTAGAATTATTGCATGGTACTTTTGTAATTGCTGTGTTTGGAGTTTCTTAAAGTAGATGAGCAGTCGAAGCGTGACAATGGCCACATAGAAAACAAAGGTAAAGTACATGTGATAGTATATGAGACCACTAGTCACTCGGCAGGTGAAGGATCCGAGCTCCCAGACCACTGAGAGGTAGTAGCTGAGGCGGAACGGAAGACTGACCAGGAGGAGGGAGTGCAGCACCATGATGTTAAGGATGATCGTGGCAATCATGGATTGGCTATTCCTTTTGAACATCATGCATGACATCATAACTGTTCCAACAGTGCCGCCAAGAAAAACTATGCTGTAGACTGTTATCAGAATTGTCCTGCAATACACATCACAGCGGTGTGGGTCCGTGCTTGAGATGTTGGACAAGGTGGTTGTATTGTTTACCTCCATGGTTTGCCACGAAGAAGTTAGATCAGAAACTGCTAAACCAAAAGGTTTACAAAATTATGATTGAAATATTGAAACTACAGTCACCAAGCAAGTATTGAATTTTACAATCCTAGACAAATTCTTTACAAATCTTGAAACCATGTACGACAAAAAAGATTGTCAGAGGTTCCACTGAGTATATTAAGGAGACAGGAGTGAGTGAAGGTGAGTAACAAAGGGAAGTTTGTTTGGATGTAAGGTTCAGAGTTGTGCTCCTAGGTATTTCCCCAAACAGTTATGTTAATCAGATATTGGGACGAGGCACAGCACGTGAAATGTTAGCATCAGGTATAAAATTTAAGAGCCAAGGGACTGGAGAGATGGCTCAGAAGTTAAGAGCACTGACTGCTCTTGCAGAAGATCCAGGTTCAATCCCCAGCACCCACATGGCAGCTAACAACCCTCCATAACTCCAGTTCCAAGGGATTTGATGCCATCTTTTGACCTCTGAGGGCACTGCACGATTGTGACATGGGTGCACTTGCATACATGTAGACAATACACTCATACACATAAAATAAAAATAATAAATAAAATTTAAAAATTTATAGAGCCCAAAACAAGCAAACAAATAAACCCCAACTCAGTAATCAAGATAAATACTGTGTGTGTGTGTGTGTGTGTGTGTGTGTGTGTATGTGTGCACGTGGCACACATGAGCTTGCCCATGTGGGCACATATGTGGAGACCAGTTAACATTGAGATGTTTTCCTCAGTTGTTCTACATCTTAGTTTTTTGAGACAGGGTCTCTCACTGACCCTGGAGCTTGTTGATTCCTATAGACTGACTGGCCATCTTGCCCCTGGGATTTGCTTGTCTTCATGCCCTCCTCCCACCCCAGCCCTGGAGTTACAAGCACATTCCTTCATGCCCAGCTTTTACGTGGGCACTTGGGGGTCTGGACTCAGATTTTCAGCCTTGCTCTCACCCATCGCCCTAGCCCATACATAATATTTTAGTGATGTTTTTGTGATTTTTTAAAATAAAACATAAGCAAAAGCTCATCATGAAGAAAAAAACATTGAAAATAAAATTAGGATCAACAGAAACCCAGTGCACACTCAGATCAGATTTATAAATGTATACCCTCATCTTTAGGCAAATAAGTTTAGAACAATGTAGAGAAAACTCACATAAATTGTGTGATTATCAGAGGAAAGTGTGTCAGACAACATTTTAGGCTATTTTCTGGGAGCATTTTTTGAGCAGGAAGCTCCCTAAAGCATACACATTTCCTAGTCCTTTCTTCTTAACCTGGGATATTTTCCTGCACTGTTTTTTAGCTTTTGGTAAAATACACTTTGAGGATGGGTTGCTTAGTTTCTATTTAAGTTTTTCATGTGTGAGAGTTTGAGAGACATCTTGCAGCAAGCAGTAAAACTGTATGTTGGTGATCAGTCACACTTCCGGGGTGAATGTGTGCAGTTCTGTGCTTAGAGGCTGAGTGGCAGGTCTGAGGCACAGCGGCTTCAGGGAAGCTGTGAAATGAGGACGTCTGTACTTCCGATTCAGTCTTATTCAGAAATTCAGTGAGCTGCTTAACTTCACACAGCAAGTCGAATAACCATCATGATTCTTTAGATTAATCCATAAGAAGATATTTTTGCTCTCGTAATTTTACTTTAAGTGGGAGCAGATACATAATTTGGTTACATAAAATTGTTGCAGCATCAATACATGTTTAATAAATATCTCACTGTTGAAAATGACAGACTTCTGTCCTAACAGTACAAGATTCGGTGATGGACAGTGCAAGCTTTGCTCTGGAAGGATTTGTGGCATTTTCTCACGTATCTCTTGCCTACCTGGCAAGGGGCTAAGTCTATTTTTGTTTGGGCAAGAAGTCCTTCACACTGCAAATTTAAATATTCTGGAGTTTTCCTGCTATTATGATATTTTTCCTGGAGAGAATAGCTACATTTCAGAAAGCGGTTGAATGTAGCATAATTATTACCATTAATAAAATCTTACTATAACTTAAAACACTACAAATTCCAAAACAATGTAAATTCCATAGGTAAAATAAACATTTGAATAGAGTGCATACATGTACAATATGTAACATTTGTGTACTTTCATGTGAGTCTATAGTTCTACATTACTTTAAGAACAATGAATATTATACTAATCTAGTTTTTAAATTTTGGTCATCTTCAAGTCTAAGTAGATAAGACTCATGTTCAATGAAAGGCTAAATTATTGCCAGTTCCACAGTTAAATGGTGTGTCTCCTCAGGCAGAGTGAATTGAACACAGAAAAGCAGCACTGCCTCCTGCAGCTGTTTGGTAACGGGCCTGATACCCAAACTTCTCTCTAGCTATGGGAAATGGAGTGCTGTCTACTTTCAAGATTTTTGTAAGAAGTAATTTAGATTTTACCCATAAATAAAAATGAAATCATGATATCTAGAGATCAGATGGAACTGAAAAATCATAAGTGAAACAAGCTAGACTCAAAAGGATACACAGGGCATATTTTCTCCCCTATGTAGAACACAGATTTAGCCTTATCTACCTGAATATGTATACACATGTGTGTGTGTGTCTTGGTATATGCATATGTGTGTGCATGTGTATGACATGAAATTTTAAAAGCGATTACAAGAGTGGAGGGCAAGATCTTAAGAGAGGGATAAAGAGAAGATAAAGGATCCAGAGGGAGGACAGTTTGGGGGAAGTGATATATTCAGTCAGAGGAGGGCAGAGGAAATGTGGGGGACAGTGGGGGAGGGCATGAATAAGAACAGTAGAAACACACACATATTTGACACAATGAAACATCACTTTTTGGTATACTAACTTAAAAATTAGTGATTTTTTAAAGAAAAGAATCTAACGAAGTCTCTGACATATTATGTCATCAAAATGCAGTGCCATTTTCTGCTTTGTAAAGTGCACAAGGATGTTTCATAAACACAACACACAAGGTCTGCCCTCCTTCCATTTTTGCTAATTTCTCAGAATCTTCCTGAAAACATTTTCCCTCAAAACCTTACCTTATAACTACTGGCCAATTTCTAATATCCTTCAAAAGTCTTTTATTCTAGATATTTCTTTGCTCATTAAAAATAAGTACTAAAATCTGAATTATTATTGTTTTAGACAGGGTGTCCCTGTATCCCCAGCTGGCCTGGAACTTGCTATATAGACCAGGCTGGCCTAAATTTCATAGGACTCTACTTGCCTCTGCTTCCCGGATGCTGGACTTAAAGGTGCATACCGCCATGCCCAGCTTTAAATACTGAAATTTCTAAATATGCATTCTACCAAGAAACAAAAGTAGTCACCAAAAGTACTTACCCTCTCTTCTCTGGTTATTACTTGTTTCTGGTGGAAATCACAAGGCACTGTGGTCATTTGTTGATCTACACCAGAGCAGGCAGTAAGAGAAGTTGCTAGAGTCAAGACTCCCTTAACAGAGCAGTCAAGGAACCCACGAGACAAGTGACAAGCTGAGGGACCAGCTCAAGCCTTACACTGTCGACTCACTAACTCCAGCAGCCAAAACAGAGCCTTGATAAGCCATCTGAGCCACAAACTGACATTCACCTCTTCAGTGATGGAACAGACTTAAAACTGTTCCCCTATGTAAAGCCTTTCATTTTCAATATCAATAACTTATTTGCAAAAATTTTTCCTTATTAAAATGAAAACCTGAAAGGGTTTTTTCCCCCCCAGGGCTGTTTCTTCTCCTACTTTCACATATCACCTCAAATGTTTCACACTCAGAATAAGCAGGGCCTGGAGGAGTACTTACTTTCTCTACTTACTTTCACATTCTCAATGCTAGCTCCAAACATTTATTTTTCACACTTTGATCTCTGAAGGCTCCTTTCTCCCTTCCTGGCTGCTCTTTGGAGATGTGATTCAAGATTGACCTTCTGCTGATGTAACTTTGACACAGGGTTCATTTCCCTCAAAAGTCTCATTTTCTTACTCGAACTGTCTAGCCTTCTGTCCTAACTTCACAGCTATCTTTAACTGTCCCAAAACATCAAAACATAATTTAAAGGAAGTAGGAGCTTAGCACAACATAAAGATACAGGGGACCAATACATCTTCAGTGGCAGGTAAACTCGGCCCCAAATTATATCAAAATACAGCTACAGAAATATAAAACTACTGAAATTTTATTATCTGTAATGCAAGTTAATGATGTCCTACTTTTTAAAAAAATCTTAATTGAGCTTTTGTACATTTCATACAAAGTTCTTAATCAAATTTAGACCCCCTCCCTCATGCATGCCCCCCAACCAGGCCCCATGTATTCCTCATTATGGTCTACTTTTAAGCACCAACAGATACAATTCTCAAACTGCTTTGTAAAAGAGAAAGGATCATCCCCACCTTTGCCATCTGCTACTTGATCATCTAACAGTACTTATCGCTATGAGGATATAAAATAACGGGACCTACAAGTAACAGAGCCATATGCCTAATTATTTAAAAAACTCTAAATGAAAGACAAAAATATTGACTCATACAAAAAAATAAAAATTTCATCAGCTCAAGTCAGTTGGAAAAAAAACATGTGGAAACAATTTTTCAACCAATTTGGACATATCCTTTAAATCAAATTAATTCAAAACCCACAAAATCTGGGTTATAGCCCAGATTTGGACATATTAACCTGACAATCTTTATTCTTCGAATAAAATGTGTTCTCTGAATCTGCTGGACAAAGTACGTTCCTACAGAAATTGTGCTATATTTAGGGGTTGCTGTGTGAGGAAGGGAAACTGGGAAATAAGTTGTGACCAATGGTAAAGCATGAAACTGTAATGCAGAACTAATCATGGAACACCTATCATTCACACGGATGACATAAAATCTCTGCTAAAATGTGCGTTTATTACATGGAAGAGCTCATGGATTCCACATTTTCTCCACCCATGATATGATAATTCCTTGAAGAGAAGTAACAAATCCTTAATGTTCTAGCTTAGAAGTGGGTTATTGCA